ACCCAGCCCTGAGCTAATATCCAATGCCAATCCTCCTCTTTTTTGCTGAGGAAGACTGGCCCTGGGCTAACTTCCATAACCATCTTCCTCTACTTTATATGGGACGCCACCACAGCATGGCTTAACAAGCAGTGTGTCACTGCTCGCCCAGGATCCGAACCGGCGAACCCCAGGCCACCACAGCAGAGCGTGTGCACTTAACCACTCGCACCACCGGGCCCACCCCAGGAGACTCATATTCTGACTATATTTTAAAAACTCATATGACCATAAAAAATAAAAAACAATAGAAACGTAAATAATATAATTAAATAAGGAGCAAGAAATATAATAGACATGTATCCAAAGAAGAAACACAAGTGGCCAATAATAAGCACATGAAAAGATGCTAGACGTCAGCCACCAGGGAAATGCAAATCACAACTACAAGCGGATCCTCTTCACACCCACTATAAAAATGGAACGAGTGCTGGTGGGATGTGAGGAAGGTGGAACCCTCATACATTGCTGATGGGAATGCAAAAGACACAGCCACTTTGGAAGACAGTCTGGGAGTTCCTCAAAATGATGAACACAGAATTAGCATATAACAGCTGCCATGCTCTCTGCACCTCCATCTGTTCACCAACCTGCAAGCTCTCAGAACCTCATACTGGATGTTTATGGAAGCTTCATCACGTGGACATGACTGATCATTAACTTCATTTGCAGCCCTTCTCCTCTCTTAAGAGAATGGGGCTGGGGCTAAAAATTCCAAGCTTCTAATCATGGCTTCATCTTTCCAGCCCACCCAGAGTCACCTCATTAGAACAAAAGACACTCCTATCACCCAGGAAATTCCAAGGGTGCCAGGAACTCTATCAGGGGCTGAGGGCAGACACCAATATGTATTTTCTATTAGCTCACAAGCCTTTCAACATAACTGGCTCTAAAGGTGATCAATTGCGCTCAAACCTGGAAAAAAGGAAAGAGCGTCCTTTATTGTTTTATTTATTTTTTTTTTTTTGCTGAAGATTACCATGAGCTAACATGTGTGACAATCTTCCTCTACTTTCCATGGGGGTCACTGTCACAGAATGGCCGCTGGCGAGTGGTGTAGGTTCCTGCCTGGAATTGAACCTGGGCAGCTGAAATGGGACACACTGAACTTAACCACTAGTCCATGGGGCTGGCCCTGAAGAATATCCTTTAAAACAAACTGGGTACAAAATTCTTCATGACTCTTTCCGAGTATGGAGGGGACTTTTTATAAAACACAGTTCTTGGTATGTGTCTTAGATAAAAAACGTTGAAAGCTGACAGTTTATAAAGAGATGTGGTTGTAGTAAATTATTTTCACAAACCTGCCCTCATAAAAGGGGATCGTGTCACCCTTAGTGCACTTTATGAAGCCTGCTCAGCTTTGAAAACGGACAAATATGAGGAATAATAATCAGTGTTAATTTATAAGATCTTATTCTAGTACATGTGATAAATTTTAAAGGCATATAAAGTCCTTTTCGAACTCTCATCCCAATGGAGCAAATATGGAGTGAACAATTATTCCACCACGTGATTCCTATTAATGGACTTCTGATCTGAAATCAAGTCTTCATCTCGTCTTTTTATTCCTGAATCAGAAACTGCTTCACAGAAAATTAAATACCAGCAATGGACATTTATATGAAATCCTCTTTGCAGTTCTTTATTTTCTGAAGGTGAACTGCTCCTCTTTAGTAAATAGATATCCGTCTACATTTGTCTCTTGGTTGAAACAAGATGTGCGTGGTCATAAGCACTCTCAATAGCGTGTGGAAGAGAAGAATATTTAAAACACTGCCAAATGCATTTAAGGAGATCAATAGATTGATAGATTGAACTTGCTATTTGAAACACGTCTCTCTGCTTCATACACCAGGATGAGCGTCAGAGATCCTTTGTCATTTTCCTATTGTTGGAGACAATGAGTATAAGAATTCATAAATTGGGCCGGCCCCGTGGCTTAGTGGTTAAGTACGTGTGCTCTGCTGCTGGTGGCCCGGATTCGGATCCCGGGCGCACACCGACGCACCGCTTCTCC